AATGGTAGCGCGACCCACGGTCAGTCGCAGGTGGGAATGAGGCATTGGTGTAACTGGTATGCAGAGGCATTAGAAAGGAGTGCTTCAATGGCGTTCATTTGGTGTAATCATTTTATCTTTGATTTCGCGCTCAAATACAAAAATAATGGTAACATGAAATTCTTGTGAGGCGCGCTGTACCGAACATTGTGAACTTCCGTCGCATTGTCAGGTTTCATATTGGCGGAACCTCTAACCGATTCTACAGGCCGTACCAACCTTCTGAACCAATCAATGCCGACGAGATGTCGGAATCCGCGATATGGTGAAATTTGGAAATATCCGAAATAGCTTCCGAAAACTGAAAATCGGCAATTGCAAGTAAGTTGCACTTAAACTTACATGAACCCAATTCCAATACCCTCTGTTAGACAACACTGTAAGAAGAGACCATACGTCAAGGGAAGCAGGTGGCGCGTTATTTCTATTTCTTGATTAAGGTGAGATAGAGGTTAAGCGAGGTAAAGGAAATGAGTAAACAGCTCGCCGCTGTTGGGCACAGACCTTGCAGCCTTATAGTTAAGCGTGCGATGCTCTATCAACTGAACAACGGAGGCTTCGTAAACTTCTTCTATGACATAATCCTATTCTAATCGTATTTAATCACATAATCGCTACACTCCAATTAAACACAACATATATCATGACCTATGTATTTCTTTGCTTCAGTATTTGTATTGTTGTCCGCCATGATAAATCACTGGTTGTGCTTGGCTGCTGGCTTGAAGGTCGCGGATTCTATCCGCGGGCCGCAGCGGGGGTGTAATGGTAGAGGCCCAGGTACCGTCCGATGTCGGTGCATGGTACAGAATACCAGGTGGTCTACATTTGCGCAGCCCATTTTAGTTTCAGGACATGGAACCCCAGATACCATAATCATTATTCACCTGGTCGTGTCTAACAAAGACAGGCCCCTTGATCCATTCCACATCTTTAGCTTGTGTACTTGTAGCTAGTTCTGCTTTTTGTTGTTGTTTTTACGCGATGTCACTCGACACGAAATGGGCAGAGTTCTCAGCTTTGTGTGAAAATTTTACAGTGTATTCCTGAAGGTAAACGTACATAATGCGTAGTCCGTTTTACACAAATATGTCTTGTACGATGGCCCCGCCACGGTGGTCTAGTGGCTAAGGTACTCGGCTGCTGACCCGCAGGTCGCGGGCTCGAATCCCGGCTGCGGCGGCTGCATTTCAGATGGAGGCGGAAATGTTGTGTGCCGTTGTGCTCAGATTTGGGTGCACTTTAAAGAACCCCAGGTGGTCGAAATCTCCGGAGCCCTCCACTAAGGCGTCTCTCATAGTCAAATGGTGGTTTTGGGGCGTTAAACTCCACATATCACTCAATGAATCAATGAATCAATGAATCAATCAATCAATGAATCAATCAATCAATCAATGTCTTGTACGATGCATATATACAGCACCACATCGAAGGCTGTACGATACCGCCATCGAGACATATTTTCGTCAACGTGGCACTCTATGCGAGTGCACGACGCGAAGGCGTGTGTGAAATGTGCGCAGTTAGTTTACGTGTCCTCGCTGAAAAGAGCTTGATGATTCGTAAAACAGGTTGGCTATGATCACTGCTGGTAGTCGTCTGTGCTTTAACGCCGTTCGCAGTTGTCTTGGCAGCTCACATAAATGCGACATGTGTGTGAAAGAACCGAGACACTCAAGGACGAGCACGAAGCCATGCGTTCTCCGCGTTTGTCTGCGAAAGCTTTCGTCTCTTATTTCCGCTAATGAATTCGGTTCTTAAGCGTCGCTGATTGTGCGAACACCTGGACCCACACCTATCCAGTGATGTTTTCTAAGCAAGCGTGGTGCTCAAGATTGTAGAGACCGTCATCTTCCTTACACAAGTTGAGACTAAGTATGCAGTGAAACAACCGGCGCGGTCATTAATTACCGACACTGTCCCCTTCTATAGAGACAGCGTTTCTGAACTAGCAGTCGTCCTCTATTTGGCCGCCTGCCTTGGAAGTCGAGACGGCGAGCTTTTCCCATTCAAGGCTACATAATCCGAAAAAAAAAAAAAAAAAAACGTTTGTGACGGCGGTCATGACGGCCAGCAAACCCTGCGTCGCGCAGTCACACTTAAACTGTGGTGGAATTGGGCATGCAGATTGACCGAATCTGATAACCAGCCGAGCCCCCCTCGCCAACGACCGATCCACGTGTCGCAGGCCTTGACAGCTAATTGGCGGCTTGCGCTCTCTCCTCCGGCTATGAGCTGCTGCTGCTGCTGCCAAGACGTCACGTCGGCAACTCGGCTTCACAAACCCCGTCAAGCTCGGCTCCTCATTCTGTTGCCTCTATCTACAACCCGGCTAACCAAACTCGCCGACCCGCAGAAATCTGCCAAAACAAAGTGCTTGCGTAAGCACGCGCAGTGGGCCGGGCTCCGAGGCCTGCCCCGCACTCTGTTAAGTGAGAGTAATAGAAGGCCAGTTTTCTGTTTGTTTTTTGTGCGTTATAGCCCACATACTCCTTACAGTCGAGGCAGATGATTCTGGCAATCGTCGCGTTTCCGTGTTGATGAGGCGGCGCGGAGAACGGGTTGGAGAGGGGCGATGGAGAAGAGGCGAATAGAGAGGTTCGCTATTTATCGCTTTTCGGCATTCGACCGCTAGGTGATTTTTTTTTTTTTTTCGAGCGCGCGTGTTGAAAAAAAGCGCGTGCCGCCTTCCTCGCTGGCGCACTCTTGAAACAGTGTGACGACACAGTGCACCGTAACGCCGGCTACAGCGTTGCTAAACGGGTATAAAGGGGGCGTGGAGCGCTGCAGCCAAAGAGGTTGGTCCAGCCGAACGTTGGTTCCAGGCGCCGGCTTCAACGTCGTCGCATTTTTCTTCCTCTGTGCCGCAGCCATCTATCGGTGATCCGTCGCTCATATCGTGCGGTGTGTTCGCGAGTGATTCGCCCGCTGATCGTGTGCGTGCGTGCGTCGAACTGTTGACGTGTAAAGCAGAGCGCGTGCCACGGTGTTTCCCGGGCGCGGACAGCCAGGACCTTCTTCCGGAGTAAGAAGCTGAGGATCTTGCATTTCTAACGAGATTATTAACTTGTGCCACTTGGAGTAGGGGAACCATTCCCAAGTAAGCGGTATCTAATGTTGGTGGCCATCTGGGCTAACTCCATTTAGCGTGTCTGTGGTATTTTTAATTTATTTAGTTAGTTCCCTAAAAAAAAACTCATTATACTGCAACAACCGACGTGCAGGTTGATACAATTTAATTGATTTTATGTTTATTGAAAAGCGTCACTGGTGCCCAAAAACTGTCGTAACGCTTGTTTGCATGCTTTGCTGCTTCTGTTAGGTTTCTGGAAATGGACTCTATCTGAAGTATGTGAACTCGACACAACATGCACACACATAGTCTTCATGATAGTTAAAGAAAACTGTCTATGAAGTCTCTAGGAGGGTAGAAAAAGGGTTTGATAACTGCATGGGCTGCATTTAATCAATTTCTGCACGAGGGCATGTCTATTACTTAGTTTCTATACAGTATGAGTACACTGTTGAGCAGCTTGTGAAGTATAATAATAAAACGGAACTGGAAGGGCTCCGCAGATAAAATTCCTTCCCTTAATGAAGAGATCGAGTTATAATCATATTGAGGTGCAGCTATTTATTCCTAATTTCAAAGCTAATACCACCGTTTGATCGGCTGGTTTAACCTTCTTGACCATTGGCCGAAACAAGGTCTTGATTACGCACATACGTTTTGTTGATGCTCACGCAGTTGCATTAGCTCCAACGTGCGCTGACATCAGGAGAACTTATCTTAATGTTGTCCGCATATACTGAGTAACCACATGTTACCTGTTTATTTTGTTTGCAAAAAGCAATAAAGAGCCCCGAAGATAAATTCATACTTAATTCGTGACTTCGTAGGTCAGACTACGTGCACATCAAGTAAGCCTCCTTATGATGCCAATTTAGACTTGTTAAGCCGCATTTCAGCCGCACGCACAAAATATTCCAGTAATACTTTAATACATTGCTCTGTGATTTCAAGAACTATAACAAAATACAAGTGCACAAGCGTCCTTCCAATTCGCGCACTAAGTGTCTGGGACATGGTTTGACAGCGTATTTTACATGCTGGTTCAATGGCTTTCAATTCAAAAGGATTAGGTCACATATGTGTTTATCATTAAATGTTTGAAGACACCTTTGGAAACACTCGCAAAAAAAAAAAAACAAAATTCTGGTTAACTCACCGCTTAGGAGATCGTTAAACGAAGCAGTCTGCGATCAGCCGGATTTGTTCATTGAACCTGTAGCCTTACGAAGAGCCCCGGCGCCTTTTGCAAGTTTAATAGATTGGTGCGCGAAGCGAGCACGCCGCGCTCACCGATAGTGCATGCCGTTATTCGTACAGGCTACGTTATAACACGGTGCGTAACGTTCTGAGTCGTGCTCAAGTGCATACGTCACTAAAACACAGTGCGAGTTGGATTCTCTGGTACATGCAGACGATGTCCATTGTAACAAACGTACGTATACGAGTTCCGGTGGGGTCAAGCGGCTTAGTCTATATGAGCGATGCATACTATAAATCTACATGAACATTTCCTCTGCCTCAGCCCCTTCACACTTTTGTTTTTCTTGAGCTATTTGGATCAATCTACAAGTTGGGAAGAAGGCTTCCGCTCGAACACCCAACTTTTCTTGTCCTCAGTATAGGTGAGGATGGTGCCAAAACGGTTTAAGACCTCGCTTTGTTGCAATCACGCTGTCTCAGACTTCGTACCACTTCCCTTTCATAGCGTCAGATCATGGTCATATCGACCTTTATCTCTCCATATGGCAATTTTGGCCTTGGAACATTTACAAAAATAAGAAACTGTTCGTTTTGTCACCGGAATGGCTCACCATCGCGCCAAAATGGCTGGTGCTCCTCGCAGTGATGTTGCATTGTATTTACCTCTTTTTCTTTTCCTCTCTCGCAGACCCAGACCGTGAGGGGGGCGGTGGGCGGTCTCACTCTCTGTCCGAACCCGGTCTGCGGGCGCACATCAACAGCGCTTTCAGCATGGCCGAGGAAGGCTACGGTGCCATCGACCGCGACGATGACCACCCGCACGAGCCGACGCTCTCGGGCTCGGCCGTCGTCGTGCCATGGTGGATCATGGAAGACGCCAAGGTATCTGCCATCCTATCGGCGATATATATTTGATGTGTGGGACGGGCAGGCGAGTGTGGTCGAGTGTCTTGCTTTGCCTTGCATGCCAGGACAAATAAATAAAAAAATTGTCCGCATCTCCCCGGAGGGAATCGTGAGGAAATACGAATGCATTTCATGTGTCTAGAGTACACTGCGTAGTTATTTTAGTGGTGTAAATTAATGACTAAACGTGGATTCGTACCGTAACCATTTATTTACACATTCCTCAGCCAGCAAACGGTCAAGAGTGAGGCGCGCGCTTCACTCCATTTATATATCCGTACGAGCGAGTGGACGGGCTATAGTGGGGTGCAGGGAGGAGAGAAAGCGAACTCCCCTAGCAACCTTCTTCGGTTGCTAGGGGAGAGGATAAGCGCGGGCCCGCAGCTGCCGCTATAGGAGAGGGAATGAGAGCGAAGAGGTAACGCCTGCAGGCCGCCGGACGCCCGACTTAGCCCGACTAAGGCGTGCATTCGCATTTAAAAATAAAAAAAAATAACAAAATAAAAAAATAAAAATAAAAATAAAAAATAAAAATAATAAAAAAGATCAAGGTGTGTGTGGGTGGGGGAAGGGAAGGGTCGAGGCACGTGCCCGGTGCGCCACTCCCTGGCAAGAACAGTAACTTTGTGTATCTGTTTTTGTTTCGAAGTTATTATTGTGTTCGTGGTGATGCAAGAGCCAACTATTAATATAGATTACAGCTCTTATGTGACCATTGTTCCCGCACGACGAATTGCAGGACGAAACCACATGCAAGGTTTCTTCGGTGATTTCTTTTACTTTGTTGTGTAGTGCTATAGGCACAGTTATTAGCCCAAAGTGTGCGGAACCAAATAAGCAAAATACATATAATTGACAACCGAGTTGCCGCCCTCCACGAGATCGTTCACAGTTGCGAGAACGAATTTCGTGCCAATCTGTCTGCGGCCTATCATTCCAACGTTTCTTTATCAACAGTGCTGTGGCGGCACGTTGGATTCTAGCACCAGCTTCCAATCTATGGCGCTCTGTATGTGAAAGCGGTTCCTACCTTTTGGCGTGTTTATGCACAGATTTAGACGGACGCATAAACTTGCGTTCTTTTATGTATTACTGCGCCCTGCTTTCTTCACTTCCATCACCCGCTCACACTCTCCCCGGAGAGACAGGAAGCCGACCGTACATGGATAGTCTATTCATCGTCGCCCTGCCTGCCCAGATGGATATTTCGTGGTAGCTGCTCCCATGCAAGAAAAAGTTCTGCCGAATGTTAGAAACTCTGCAACAGATGAAGGTGACAGCGTGTGCCACACTTCGTACTGCATTATGTCATGCGATAGCGGACGAGACAACTTACAAGGCATGCAAGCGCCGTAGTATGAGAAACACTGCAGGTTTCAGTCGATTTCATTCTGTAAGCGTACGGAAAATTTCATATGGCACATATTCTAGAATATATAGGAAAAAGAATCATTGAGAACCAACCGTTAGTGGCCTTAAACCACAAAGAAATCTGGTTGGATTTCCTTCTGGCTTGGTACTACTCAAGGTTGGTTGTAAATTATCGCTTTCGTAACGAAGCGCCACCTTCTGTAATTCGGAAGAAGTTATTTTCAATTTAAGAATGTAGTATTACATGATTTAGTACGTTGTGTTATGTTAAAGAGGCACTAAAAGCAGTTTTTCTCATTAGTAAATTACTATTTCACTATTCCAAGCTCTCTAAACTTGTTAAGAGAAGGCGTTTGTTTGGCAAGCGAAACAACGTGGCAAAGGTAAATGAGGGTGGTGACTTCACCATACAGCTGCTGCACGACAAGCCGTGACGTCATGTTTTCTGACGATGTCTAAAAGGTCCCACGTAGTTTCTAAACGGTAAAACTGAAATACATTGTTTTCGGAGGAAGCCAGAGATCAAACTACCCGAGCACCAGGAAAATTTTTTTAGTTAAATACGTCAAAGTACGAAAACAGCCTTATTGAAATTTGTGATGTCACGCGTGGAGTTTTGGCGCGAAAGTTAAAAGTGATACTCAGTCTTTGATTGTTTCTTCTACCAGTGAACCTATGATGGTGAAATTAACTATATTCGAGTTCTCACAGTACAATTTATCAATCTAAACCGGCTGACTGTGTCACTTTATTATCCCTTGTTGCGAAAGACGGCGACGCCAACACGGTCCCGAAGGCGCCACTGCTTTCAACTCCGCCGGGAGGTCACCAGCCGTTTGGTAGCGTATGTTTCTCAGCTCGCGACTGCTTCTGCGCAGAGCTGATAAGACGAGCGGACGAGACGACGGTGAGTTAAACAAGGTTTATGTACAGCATATATACAGAGGCGTTACAATTTCGGCACTGGGGCCGACAGAGACTCGAAGAGCCGAGCTCTCCTCTCTAACACATAGGTCAACTTTTCGCCTAAGACCGCTGATTCACACACATGTCGGCTCTCCGACATGGGGACTCCTCTCTCATAGGACCGCCGATCGCGACGCGCCGCAGGGCTTCTTTTATTTGCACCGGGTCCAACCAAAATGTCCAATCAGAAGCGCCGCTGGTCGTCAGGGCAGATTCCTCCAATGGGGTCGCCGCTGGGCCACGTCAGACCCCCAGACACGAAGACGCCGGCTCGCTGTCACGTGCGCTGCTGACTCACTGCACGTGGGCCAGAGAGGCGCCGCGCGTGTTTACGCCGTTGAGTTGTTCGCGTCAGGCGGACTGCGGGCTGGCCTTGACCCAGATTGCCTTTTCAGAGGCACGGACGTTTGACGAGGACTCGCTGGCATAACAGCACCCCCGCCGCCAGACAATGCACCGGAAAGACGAGCTGCTTCCACGGGGCTCGGATGTCAGGTGCGCTCGTTCGCCAGGTCCCTTCAGGTTCGCCTCCAGGGCCGGAAACACATCCCATTTTTGACGACGGATCCCAGCTCCACTGGCTTGTCGCCACAACTTGTCGACCAGCTTCACTCGTCTTGTCTGACCACCTTCGGTTTCAGCACTTGTCGATGGTTCTGCAACTTGCTAAGAACGGTTCGACAACAGACAACACACGACACACGCAAGTGCTCTCGGTCACCCGACAGAACACCACACAAAGTATAGTACAACATATACCTAGCTAAGTGTCTATCGGAATTTCGTTCCCTCTACATCAAGAGGCACATGTGGGACAAAAGACCCTTAAAATGACAACTCATTTTTTTTCCCACGTACAACAACGTAACAAATTAGAATACAACAAAGTTGGCTTCTTGAGCTCACTCTGGGCGAGAGCGCTCAGCTCAGGTCGTGATGAGGTCAAAATTTTGCCCCGAATCGCCAGCGAGAAACCGAAAGGTTGAGAAGGTACTAGCTAGAACGCACTGCTCAATGCACCTGCATTAGCGTTTAGCTTTCTCTTTTTTTTTTTGATAGCGAACGTCAAAGTTGCGCTGTGGAGCAACATGCTCCACCTCAGTAACCGGCCACTTTTAGGCGACGATACCTATGCGGCACCAAGAGCTGCTCATACTTGCGGCGTTGCACAAGGGAACAACGATACGGCTTGCTACGGATTGACTCCTCACCGCTTAGCTCGATATCGTGCTCGATCACCGTCGTGTTTCCGGGACGGTCCGAAAACACGTCTTGAAACTCTGAAACAATCCTTCTCAGGTCCTCCTCCTGAACTTCACTTAACCTAGGCTCCAGGTTCAACTGCTCCCAGATTACTTTCGATCCCCCTTCGATTACCTCACTAGTACTCAAAACTTCCGCTCCCTCTTCCTCTGAAGCACTTAAAAGTAAATTTACGACTGCTTTCAAGTTACTGTGATAAATTTTGTTCCGCCGCCTCCCTAATTTCACTTCATAATTCGTATCAGGAAGCTTCAATATCACTTTGGCGGGCCCTTCCCAATGAATCTCAAGCTTGTTCCTTTTGGACGGCTGCAGCAGCGTTCACTGATTATCAACTTCAAAAGCACGCTTCTTGACCGATTCTTCGTAGTGCTCCTTTGACAGCACTTTTGCCGCGTTTTTCTGGCTTTCCACTAGCGCTTCAATTTGGCTTTCCACTAGCGCTTCAATCGAGAGATCCTCACGCTGCTCTCGAATGAGCGTCTCTCGATCAACTCTCGGCAGCTCACTCCAACTTTGCGCTACAGGCGAGAGCGTTGCAGCCCTCTCGCTCTGATCCAATGGCGCCATGTCGTCTCCCCTTTCTACGGAAACCGCGCCGGTCGGTTCGGCGACGGGCCGCTCGCGCGACTGCTCACATGACTCACGCGGAAAATTTCCTCTCTGAGGTTCTGTCGACCCGCCGACAAGGTCACTTGAGCGTTCACCGCATTGAACCAGATCAAGCTCCTGCGAAAGCTTTCGCGCTTGCGATCGCGTGAGGGCCATGTACGCTAAGTTGGGGAAGAACGATTTACCCTGTTCTTTGAGAAGCTGCTCTGAGTTGTTAGAGAAAAGATAAGGAAAACGATCGGGAAGCGCGGCAGACACAGCTGCTTCTGTGCGAAGCTTACCGAACGGGCCTTCAATGACAACCGTGGCGATTGGTAAACAAGCACTCTGCTCCTCGGCGACTTGCCTGATCCATGCGCATTCTCCTGTAAAGTCATCTGGAGACACCAATGAAGGATGGACAACATCCATGGTTGCCGCTGAGTCACGAAGTGCTCGACACGTTTGCCCATTCACACTAATTTCTTGGATATACGGCTCCAACAACCGCATGTTCTTTTCCGATTCTCTAATTGTTGCAAACGCAAACTTTTGCTTACAGTTTATCGCGATGTGCCCTTCCTTTTTGCAGTTGTAGCAGATTAGTGGCTTCCGTGATTCAAACGCCCGTGTGGTATCAGTGCGTTGTTTAGAAACCTCACTCGATTTTTTCGCTTCTGTTTGCCCTTCCCCTACAGTGTCCTTCGTAAGAGACGGGTCCTTTTTGAAATTACGGTGCGGAGCGGGTTTTCGTTGATCAGGTTTCTTTGAAAAGCCCTCTTTTC